ATATTAAAGGAAATATTAAAGGTCATCAGTCCCAAGACTAGTGGGATACGCACCTCCACTCATTTCTATCCTGAGCTAATCTTCGCATTTCCCTAAAACTAGAACTACTTCTACCCCTACTAACTTCCGTTTTTGCCTCTAGTATGTCTCTGATTAGACCTTCATGCCTAAGAAGACGTCCTGCCAATCTATCTCACCTATTTCTGATTGCCTTCCGTAGTCCTCGGTTCTCCAATCCTTTCTTATCTCTCTTTATTTCTAACCGTTTCTGTCTACGGTTAATTAATATCCAATATTTATTTATGGCAACTGATTGTATTTTAAACGGAGAGTTTTAGAATGTTTAGGCTCTTTTAGGTATCCCGTTTTGCTCCCCCCCTACATCTGTTTTTTTCCATGAATAAATATTTCATCTGGATATGTGTATAATCTTTAGTTAAACTCTTAAATTAACACAAACAGCTGAAAATGATTGTACTCATTTCTTTCCTTTTTTCCTTTCTTTCTTTTTCCCTTCTTTCATTAAACCTTTCTTCTTTTCCTGACAGTATTTCCACTTTCATTCATTACACTCTTATATTTTTCAAACTTATTCTTTTCATTACATAATCCCTGTACATGCATTAATGTTTCATCCTTCCTTTCACATATTCTGCACTTCCTCTTCTTCTCCTTTCATCCAATGCTTGCATCGTCTTCTTTCATTTCCTACTCTGAACTTTGCTATGACACCTAAATATTTTCCCTTATTCAAATATTTTCGTTCCCAATCCTGGTTCCGATGTTCCTTTAGCAAATTTTTCATACATTCAACATATCTGGATTTTCTCATTCAGTTACGTAGTTAATCTTTAAAATTGTATGAGAGAAGTAAATAAAGTAAATATATATGAGTTTTAAAGAAACAAGGGTCCGTCCTAACCTACTCATGATATAGCACATCCACCGCCCTTTCCACTTTCTTAACATATTAGGTACCTTTACCATTTCTTTCTATTATATCCCACTTATCCGGTTGCGCTTGATTTAGATTTGGTTCATTTAAGGCTTCTTCCCTTTGTTCGTGACGTATTTTTAATTCCAGTTTTCAGGTCCTTTTCCGCTATACTTCCTTTTTGATATATCCCTCAAATAATTTTCCACATTTTATTTCCCTCATATTCACATAATTCGATGTACTTCTATCCCAATTCAATACCCGCTTTATGTACTTTTTATAAATGTCTTCCACTTGTTTTGCCTTTTCTACCTCCATATTTCCACTCCATAGAAATTATATTTAAAACTTTTCCTCCTAATCCAATCATTCTTACACAGCTTTTTTCCTATCCCCGAAATACTTCATAATATGACAACCACATTCGTCTGGATATGTAAATTACTTAATCTTTTATTGTTATCTCGTAGGTAAATATATTTTATGTATTAAATAACCTTTTAATGTTTTTTTTTTAATAAAATTAACTATCATGAATTACGAGGGCCTTGGACTTTCTTTTTTCGGGAGGTAATTTAGAAAAGATCGGGAACTTGTGATATAAATTATGGATAGATACGCTTAAAAGAGTTACAGCGTATATACCGAAAGATTAGCATGAATCAAAGAATAATAATACACATAGTTCATTGTCAGTTACTTTACCCTATGATAAAAGAAAATTCAACTTTTTGTATACCTATACATACGTATGGAAAACGTTACACTATTTAATTTCTGAGCGATTAAGCGACGGCTTCAATGAAAAATTATAAACGAAAACGGTATTAACAAAGGTTTTCGTTTACACAACCGAATTGAATTAAGGCTGGGGCGAAATTTCCCATGATGGACGTGGTGTAAATGAAATTGTACCACATTGTTCTATTCAATTATAGAACGTCCTGAAATCTCTCTATTATTGTCTTTGCTTTTAACTGGGTATCCGCTTTTTATTCATTTCTGCTCGTTTAAATATGTATGAACGCAAAAGAATACAAAAAAACTCGAATTATAGATACTAGGTTTGCTTCCTTTATATTTGGACACGACTATGATATTAAACATTTTAATTTTATTTATTCTACAAGTATATAGAGACATTACACGCCTATTGTTTAGGGTCATCACTATTTATTCACAAAGAAACGTGTTAGGACGTATTAGATGTTAGAAATAGAAAAACTTTAACTTAAAAAGTAATGAAGAAACCACCCACAATGTTGTTGATTACTTACTATTTTTGGTAAAGTTGTCAAATTTAATTTGACTATTAGGACTAACTAATTTTTGACTGATTTTGATTATTTAGAAGTCGATTCCTATAGATTTTAATAAGCTTTATAAGAATATGAATAAACTCCATTGCGTTGAGCTAACCCTTTCTATCCACGTTATCCTCATCATTCGCCTATAACACCACATTTCGAACGCTTCCAACCTTTTCTTTCCCGCCGCATCCACTATCCATGTTTCGCATCCGTACAACGCCTCATTCCAAGTATACACCTTTAACAATCTTTTTCGAATTTCTAAATTAACCGTTCGCGAGCATTTCTTTTTCTTTTTATTGAAGGCGACTCCACCCTGCGCTATCCTCTGCTTGAAATGAATGAAACTAAATAAAAATAAAACAAAAATCCATTTTGAGGATCGAATTCCCGTAGGTATATTAGATATATTTATTGCCTTTGAATTTAATTATTGAGATTCAGTCTTTTAAAGTGTTGAAAGTGAAATCAAAACGTGTTTTAATGAACATTCTTGTAATCGTTTGACTTTTGAATGTTAACGTGTTGATGATAATTGCTATAACAGACTACAAAAGTGCTACCTTTGATTAAACAGTTATTACTACGGTGCTGAATCTGTCGGCATTCATTGTTGGCTTTTGCTGTTAGTGACGTAGGAATTGTGCCGGACACTCATTTGCTGTCATCTGCGACTAAATGAAGCCTGCAATAATAATAGCGGTTTGGTTTTTAAACGTAATGAATGTTAGCGTGCACGGTAGTCAGTTTGCATTTGAATTCACTTTGCGTTTCAGTAAATTGTAGTAGTTACAAACATAAAGAGTCGTCGGCGAGCGTTTTTCGTTTCCGGATTTGGAGGCTATTGCTTCCACGTACTTTTTTTTTACAAACGAGAATCTAAATAACTGTAATTAAAGCGGAAGTAGGCATCAATATATCCTAATTGAACTTGAACAAACGGTGAGGTTCTAATTTGCATTCTCTATCGCAGAATTTGTCCGTTAGGCAGGTCTTTAAAAGAGTATGCTAATTTTTAAAAAATTATTATGCCATTATTCAAATCGGTAGGTATTTAATATTTCAGCAGCTGGAGCATTGTTTAGCAAATATCGAGTGATCGACCGAGGAATCGCTTCTAATCTCTCCTCAAAATCGTACAGCTGTAGTGCATACGTACAGTTTGCTTTTTCGTTTTAATTCCCTGTCAATGTGGATCTGGAAATTAGAACCATTATTTTTTCTAATATACTTTGCGACGTTGGACGGCTAGAGTTTTTGTGAAACTACTATTTTTATTTTCTGATTATTTTTTAGCTTTCTGTATCCAAAAAGGGAAAATATTCGGAAAAAAGACTATTACTGTAGTAGGTAGAAAACAAAAACCATAAACAAGGAATCATTTTTGATATATTTATCGAAAGCGAACAGGGATCTGGCTTTAGAATTTCCAAAAAATATTGAAACTTCAAGATGTAAGCCAAATTAGTTACATTATCCGGATTTGGGGGTTGCTAAGATCAAGTCTAGATTCTAATTCAGCAACGAAAAGTTCCTCGAAAATAGCTTCTCTCGTGCTTGTTTTGTCTTCTTATAGTCATCACGTAGCAATCTTCTCAAATGGCCGAAAATTATATGATTTGAGTTTTGAGATTGGAATAGGTATATAGAAATAAAATCGATCGAATGTAAATCGCATTGCTTGTGAAAAAAATACTGAGAAACAGAAAACACCGGATTTGTTCTACTAAAAAGGTTATTGGTCTCTATAATATTATTTTATTATACCCTCTAGTTATCGATGTGAATAAATCATAACCAGCGCGTTTCTCACACCGACAACTAATTCCAAGAATGTACAACATAAGCGATTTCTTGTATAGTATATAAGCTTTGTTTTAGCCTTCTAATTTAATTAATGTATTGTAGTTGACGTGCATAGCATATTGCTGGGATACTTTAATTCACGAACGGCAAATTGTTTATATTTTTAACTAATAATTATAGTTCTTTTAAATAAAGTGTTATTACAATTTTTGGATTTCTTTTTAAAAAGAGAGACTTCCAACGTCGTTCGTTAACTCTCTCGAATCATTCTGTTACGGTAATAATAGAATTTCTTTCTTGAGAATGACCTAAGAGGGCCGAAACCATATGGCAGTGACCAATAAATCTTTTAGTGAGACATATCCAGTGTATTCTCTTTCTCATTAATATCTAAAAAGTTTGATGTGTTTAAAAAAAATTTAAAATCTACCTTTCTACAACAGTAAATGGACAATAACAAAACACAAGTTCGGTTTCTACAATGTTTAGTAAAAAGTAAATGGAAAGAGAACTTATGATAATGTTTTAACGGTCAGTCGGCCTAGTCTTACACTGCATGATTCCACTGAAATTCTAATTCCAAAAAAAGTTTGAAAAGTAGTTTATTCTTGCAAGCTTTAATTCTTCAATCTTTAGTTAGATGACCAATATTAAAAAAATATTGGCTGAGTTATTTGAAATTAAAAGTTGACTTATAATTGATTATATGTATAAGACATACTTATTAATTTTATTAATCCGCTGGTAAAAAAATATCAGGAGGCTATTTATAACAAAGAAGATCGATTTAATTTGTTAATTATAAATAAATATTAATGGTTAGTAAATAACAAATAAGGGTTTCTCGAAGAATTTAATGTAATGGTGCTTTTCTTATGTGTAAATTAAAACCAAAATAAATTTTCTAGTGGTAGACATATTAAAAAGTTATTTTTCTTTTGTTTCAGGATGACGAAACTACATGTGACTTATTTGATCCTATTTTTACCATGGCTGTGGGTAGTTAGTGCCATATGCCCTAATCAGTGTTCATGTTATTTAGATCACCGTGGTAGAACGACAGTTTCCTGTTCTCAAGGTGGTATGACAGGATCCATACCTGTCCTTAATTTTAAAAATGACACCGAAGTTATCATAATAACAGCTCCCGAAAATAACATGAACCTTCTCACGATGGGCCCGGTGTTTGACGAATTTAAAAATTTAGAGGAGTTACATATAACCAGGTCGAACATACCTGAGATGGGGAAATACTTCTTTTACAGCCTAAGGAAGCTTGATGTATTAAATTTGTCTCAGAACAATATTACACAGCCTCTAGATTATAATTTTGTGGGCCTCAATAATTTGAACAAATTAATTCTAGACGATAATAGAATTGAATCTCTAGCAAGCGAGACTTTTAGGCATCTCCAGAAACTTACTGTTCTGTCGATACGACGAAACAGAATACAAAAACTCATGCCTCGAGTGTTCTATCATCTGAGTAAACTTAAAGTATTGAAACTTAGCGGAAATCGCATGAGATATCTCAATGCAATTGTTTTTAAGGACATTCAGGTAGGTAATTTATAATGTTTTATATATATATA